AGGATCAAGGCCTCGCCTATAATCCATCAAGAAAAATCTGCAACTGCAAGTCCATTTTCATTGACCTCCAATCTCTTTCTTTCAGTGAACACAGAGGGGAATCCCAAGCCTGCCATGTTTCAGTGCTTCATTTCAAAACAAGCAATGTGACAGCAAATTGTTGGTCATTTAAAATAAAAATGCATGTTAACTTTTCTTGTGTGTGTGTGTGTGTGTGTGTGTGTGAGTGCATGCTGTTGTGAATACAGTTCAGGTGTTGAGTAATAATCATTTATACTTCTTAAGTTAAAAAGGAAAATCGGTCATTGCATGTTCTTAGCAGTCACAATGATCAGAGGTTAGAATACTTTGACTGTTAAAACATATTTGTCTTTGGTCAATAAAGAGATGGAAGAAAGGGAGAATCATCTTGCCATCTCTCCCCTGAGCATAGCAATATGACACATGGGAACCAGGGGAACTATCAATGCTTTGCTACAGCAAGATTTATGAACATTTTTCCATGGTTGAAGTGTTTTCTTTAAGTTACTGAGGTCAGAAAGGTTATAAGCACATATTGAATAGCACACAACAGCTTATATTATAAAATCATCAAATAGGAAGTTTAGATCAATATATGGTACTTTAAATTAAATACTGCAAGCATGGGAAATGATAAAAATGCATGTTGACTAGAATTTTTTGCCCAATTTATAAATATTGTAGATTTATGATACAAGAATAAAAACAAGAATAAATTTGGGGATATCTGTGCAATCTATAATAATACAGCACCTCAGAAGTGTTAGGAGCAATGCATTTAAATAAAACAGGTTTGAACAAATAATTTCTTTATATAACATAACTAGACCTCTGGAGGATATTAAAAAAAACTCATTTTGCCTAAACCAATTAGAAAGTATCACTTTATGGGATGGCTTGCAAAAAGTGCTTAGCTTTTCATAATATTTTGGATTTCCCTAGGATGGGGGATTTCAAGACCAGGGAGCATATTTTTAAGGTGAGAGGAGAGAGATTTAAAAATAAATGAGGGGCAAATTTTTACACAGAATGTGGTTCATGTGTGGAATGAACTTCTTGAGGAAGTGGTGGATGTGGGCACAGTTACAATGTTTAAAAGGCAGTCAGATAAGTACATGAATAGGAAAGGTTTGAAGGGATATGGGCCAGGAGCAGGCAGGTGGGTCTAATTTAGTTTGCGATTATGTTCAGCATGGACTGTTTGGACCGAAGGGTCTGTTTCCATGCTGTATGACTTTATGAGTATGACTCTATGTATGATATTAATTCTACCACTAAACTTCCAGTCACAAAAGAAAAGCTTATCATAATTTAGCCAGCCTGTACAAACCATTTGCATTAAATAAGTATTGATAATAATTATGTTAATCATGTTGGTTTGTGCTCTGATGTCCACTGTACACATGAACGTGTGAGAAAAGTGAATTGTTTGGCGCCCATCGGTATAAAGTGTGATCTATGTTAACGATACAGTATTCATTTTACTGTGCTGCCATGCTAGTGTCACCAGCTCTCAGTGAGCAGCAGCAGTTGGCAACTACATAATGATCAATTTGCTATGGTCAAACCTATAAAGACCCAGAGATAACAAGGTGTAGAGCTGGATGAACACAGCAG